TTATTTTTTCCATCTCTAAAAATCCGATTAAAGTCCTCATCTTCTCCGATGTTAAAAAATTCGACGAAAAGAGGAGCAATCATGAAACAGATTCCGACCGATCTCATCATCGAGATATTCTCGAGGTTACCGGCGAAATCAGTCGGTAGATTTCGTACCTTGTCGAAGCAATGGTGCTTGATACTAAGCCGTCCGAATTTCACCGAGCTGTTTCGGTCCATGTCTTGTGCTCGTCCACGGCTCTTGTTTGCAGTCGAAGGAGAAGGTTCGTGGAGATTTTTCTCTTCGTCACAGTCTTCGTCGTCTCTTTCAGTTGCTGCCGATTTTCATACCAAATTCTCTCAAGACTTTATCCGATTCAGTTGTAGCTATGCTTCTGGTTTGTTCTATTTCCATGGTTTGTGGATTCCGAAATTGGCTAAGGTGCTGTCTGTGGTGTGTAACCCTATCACGGGTCAGTATGTGTTATTGCCTAAATTTGACATGTTCGGGAACTCAAAAGGCTTTTTAGTGTTTGATCCTATTGAGAAGGAGTTCAAGGTATTGGCAGTGTCTTATCCATTCTATGATGAAAGGGGTCATCTCGAAATTCTGACATTAGGAACTGGAGAGCTCAGTTGGAGAAAGAAGAAGAAGATTGATTGTCCTCCATACGATCATTCTTTGTGTAAAGGGATTTGCATCAATGGGGTTTTGTATTACTTAGTTCGTGATTTGCCTGTTTATATTGTTTGCTTCGATTTGAGGTCTGAGGAGTTCAAGCTTGTTGTTGCAGAATGCGTTTCTGATCCAAAGACGACGAAATTGGTCAACTATAAGGGTAAGGTAGGTGGGATTAATTGCAACTATAATGAAGCCGGTGGAAGCTATACCCTTGAGTTGTGTATGTGGGTGTTAGAGAATGTCGAGAGACAGGAATTCTCGAAATATGTCTACACTTTGCGGGAGAACAAACTGATTGATTGTCACTGCAATGTTTCCGTTGTTGGAGTGACTGCTATAGGTGAGATTGTTCTGGCCATGGACTATACTTGTAAGCCGTATTACGTTTTCTACTTCAACCCCGAAAGGAACACTCTACAAAGTGTTGAAATCCAAGGTTTTGGAGCCGACTTTGAAGCTGGTGTGTCTCGTGGTAGAGTTCGTGCCTTTGTGGACCATGTAGAGGATCTTAACGTTAACGATTCAAAGCAACTCAAGTCAAGCGTATATGCTTCTCAAGTCAAGCCATCTCTTCTCCAACTGTGAAGAACAAGAGGAGAGAGAGAGATGGTGAGAGTAGGGCAATGGGGACATGTCATGTTTTCTCTATCTATGCGATTTATGATCTTTATAGTTGTGGTCTCTGCTAATTAATCTAATATAGCTTTGGACCTTTGGTAATGTAATGAATGAATATCAACAAAAACGCAAACACAATAATAACCTCTTTGATTTCATTGATTTTAACTCCAATCACTCAACAAATTTGGCATTGGCGAACTTAAAAACAATTACACCGAAGGAAAATCCACAAAAGAGCAAGCAGAAAAACAAAAGAGACATACAAACACTACAAAGTGATTTGATTTGGATTTTGTACAGAAAACATAACAACTATAAGCTGTTCTTATTTATTATTCAGAATCTGATTGATAGCTGAGACTTTTTAGACATTTGCAGCACTTCTGAACGATCCGAGAGACTTAGAACCTGAAGCCCTTAGAACAATTTGGTGATAGAATGCAGCAATCGCAGCTCCAACGAATGGTCCAAGCCAAAATATCCACTGTTACATTTTTCAAAAATGTCCTCTAGTTAGTTCCTTGATAAATAATTAGTGTAGTTTAGTTAATTAAATATAATGTGAAAAGGAAAATGAGGTCATACGTGGTCATTCCATGGCTTGCTCTCGTTATAGATTACGGCTGCTCCGAAACTCCTTGCCGGGTTAATTCCGGTTCCGGTGATCGGAATGGTGGCTAAGTGTACCATGAACACCGCGAATCCGATGGGAAGTGGCGCCAATACCTTTCATTTGATCAGATTTCATTTATAGTTATTAGTATGGTTGAAATACAACACTTAACAACGATCACACTATAGTAAGAATAAAAAGTTAAAGAAATTGATTAGGGATGTTCAATCCGGTTTTTAATTCGAATTTTTTATATGTGGAATATAAATTAGAGATCTCATTTTGTTTGGTTATGTCCGTTTTAAAAATTTCAGTTTATATTTTCTTTGGTTTGATTTTTGATTCGGTTAATTTATGGTACTAGCTTATGTGACTCACCGGAACATGGGAGTCTCTGGCGCTACGTTTAGGGTCGGTAGCGGAAAAGACGGTGTAGACTAGAACGAAAGTACCGATGATCTCTGCGCCTAGGCCGGTCAATTTGTTGTAGCCATCGGCTAGAGAGTTGGCTCCACCGCCGTAACGAACGTAGTAAGAGCTTTGGAAGGCTTTAACAAACCCAACTCCACAGATGGCACCCAAACACTGAGCAATAATGTACAATAAGGCCCTAACCAACGACACTTTTCGAGCCAAGAGTAGCCCAAATGTTACCGCCGGGTTGATGTGACCACCTAAGTAACACAAACGAAAGTTATACGATCAAAATGTTATCAATTATCCAGTTTCAATCCTGGTTAGTAAAGGACTCTAAATAATTAGTACGCTTAGATTATGGATACTGAATTTAGGATAAGCTAAACCGATTTAATCATGACTTCAATAAATGTTTATACTTTTGGTCAGAACTTTAAAAAAATATTTATGTAACTCGTTTTTCTTCCTTGCAACCTAACATTTTGAAATAATTAATTATGATGTTAACCGAGAAAAAAAAGTCAATTTAAACATCACAATTTACTTGTTAAAATGTCTTTTTCTTATATCAAAAAGACGAAAACCAACCATTTTTTTTTGTTTTGCAAAATAAGAACATATTTTGATTAAAAATAGAATCCAAACTAAAACAAAAAACCATACTAAATCAATTCATCTTTGCTAGTCTAAATTTCTTCTAAAAACCGAAAAATCTATATCTAAACCGAACCGAAATCAAGATCGAAAAAAAGATTCATACCAGAGATACCGGCGGTGCAGTAGACAAGAATGAAGATCATACCACCAAAGGCCCAAGCAATACCGAGGATTCCAACTCCGCCACAATCAACACCACCCGCAGTAGTATCGGACTCGAGCTTGTAACCGATGACTGTCAAAACGGTGATGTATAAGAAGAGTAGAGTAGCTACGAACTCGGCGATGACTGCTCTGTAAAAAGACCACTTTTTCAGCTCCTCTCGATCAATCAGCGGTGCCGGAGGCGGATCTTGATAGTCTCTTGTCTGAAACCTTTCCCCGGGAACAGCTTCCACGTCTTTTGCCATGATTGAT